ATTCGCTCAGTGCAAAGCAGAACCCACAATCTACCTAGATACCAACTTTACACCCGCCGCCGTTGCTGCCAAGTTTCACCCCGGACCCATGACCCTCCGGTGAGACTAATGGAGCTGGTAACTTGACGGTCTCTGCTCCACCTTCACCTCCACCATCATCACCACACCACCTTGTAAATCACGAACGCATGGTGGCGATTGCCATCACGGCCTCGAGATAACCAAAGGGGGGTAGATATTTAGTAACCCAGTGCAACGATCCGCATGGTGGATTCGCGACGTGACAGTCCCGTTACTGAATCCTTCCATCTTCAGCAACAACTTGACGTTATTAATGTCCTCCGACCGAGCGTCGTTGGCAACCTTGTCGAATCACTGACCCAAAACTCGACCGACAGCATACTCAGTACGTGCAGCATACGGTGCATAGCATACAGGTAAGATGTTGGTATATTCGCATTTTTACGACCCAACAGATTCAATTGCGTTTGTCGTGAATTAATACTTAACGCGGTATTCATTTTATCTCTATTTTGTTTTTATCCTTCTTAGCGGCAGGCACACATTTCCGGACAAAAGGAGCGTTGTTGCTGACCCAGCATCAAACCGAAAGTCTAGACGTGCCACAACTAACATCTTACTTCTAAGCAAAGTCGCAAACCGCTGACTGTCTAAAATAACGCGGAACAGACATATCCTGCCAGAGGACCATTTGTGCAAAGGCCATACTTCGCTCGCCTGCATTGCCACTTTACCATCTGAGCCAGACCGTTAAGAAGTCGACGAGATACCTACGATAGCTCCAGATTGGAATACGCAGCAGCCAGGGCCCAGCTGACTGGTTACATGATGGCGGGTTTAGGACGGTCGTTCAAACCTCCTGCGGGTTTTTCTCCCAGGTCGAGACGACCAGCTGGTCCCGCCAGAAGCGTCTCCAGCATATCGACCCCATCCGATCTGTCACCACTCTCTTCTCCCGATTCCCCCAGGCTCTTGATGGACATCCCACAAACGCCCAGATCTTCGCAGGGTTACTTGAGAGGCAGCAGTAGGTATCGGTCTTTTTTCTTTCCCCAACTTTTCGTTATCAGCTGCATTTCATGGTCCTGCATCTATGTTACCTCGTCTTCAGAGTTGATGCGCCTCGTTGTCTCCAAACGATAGCGATGTTACTGTCATTGCGCCGGAGACCCGTGCACCACCTGAGCTTCAGCTTCTGGCGTTTCTACTGCTGTTGCTGCTTCTGCTGCTATTGCCCGATTGCAACCCGCCTTCTGGGTTAGGCCGGAGTGGCAATGGAAGCTGCGGCGCTGCTGGCGGCCGGAGGGGCACGCGCCTGAGTGGTGGCACTTGGGTTGCGCGGGCCAGCGGTCATACACGTCAAGGTAAGAGCTCCAAGGTAATGCCTGCTCCGGTGCGCTGCCCAGGGCCGGCGCGCTGAAGACGGGGTGCGGGGTGCAGGCCGGTCAGTCGCCGGGGCCAACTCCTCAACCTCCCCTCCCTGGTTAGCGCCCAGTGCCCAGCGCCCATCGACGCCCACCAGAGCCCGTCAGAGCCCGCCAGAGCCCACCAGGAGCCCACCAGCAGCCCACCAACAGTCCACCAGGAGTCCACCAGGAGTCCACCCTGGATCCACGCTACAACCGCCTAGGGCCTGCGCTATACCCACTGCACTAATAAATAGTGTATCTACCAGGAAGACCCGTCCGGCCCCTCGATTACGGTTACCTACCCTAATCTCGTTACCGTTTCCTTCTCGACCAGAGCTCTTTGCGTCATCAAAACCATTACCTTTCCCAGCTAATGAATCTGCCAACTGAATCAGGCACCCGCTCATCTCCACGATCTGCCAGCGCCGACGAAGCCTCCAAATCGGCGCTACCTCGAAGCCAGCCAATCGCCATTGAACTACCCGCGGCTAGGAAAGTCAACGGTGGCCTTGCACCCGCGCCTTTGTCTGCTCGCGGAGATGCGCCTGGGTATGTTGTTCGCAGTGTGAACCTAGCGTTTTGGTACCTATGGTTGACCGAGCATCGCTAGCGGCTACTTTCCTTTTCATGAGGATCACATCCGTGTTTACCACCACCACCCTTTTCAGTTTGATGCGACCAGGGCCCACATGGAGTCGGTGCAACGGGCGAGTCAGGACCACGCTTCTAATAGCCCTCAGATGTCTGGCCACAGCAGTATGAAGAAAGACGCCGGTCCGGCTACTATAAACGTCCCCCCGACCAGGGCCGAACGAACTACGGAGTCGCCGCTGTTAGACCCCGCTTCAGGCGCGTCGGTAGCTTCCTATATACCGCACGGAGATCAGAATAGCCATTTGCCAGTGGGCAGGTATTATCCCACCAATTACGAGAACAGGAAGGAGAAGAAAGCCAGGAAGGCCAAGGATTGTCTACCAACGACTTCTGAGCCAGCAACGTCCAAGTCCGCTGTTCCGGATTCACAAGTGCCAAACGTCCACCAACCCTCTACGATTGGCCATCCGCGAGACGAATCTGAAGCAAAACGCCGATTGCAGCAGTATCAGCGGGACATGGTGGCGCAAGCGACGATAGCTCTCAACCGTGGAAATGTCAACCAGGCGGCTTTGAGCTCTATCCGGTCATTGGGATTAGGCAACGTGGCTGGGCCAAGCAAACCGCGACTGGTCCCATTAGGAAGCCCGGGCCCCGTCACACCTATGGAATTGGAAGGTCCTGATGGCGGATATATCGGAGCGCACGGGTTGGACGACTCTCGACCCGACTTAAACTGCGTGAATAAATCAGGAGAGCCGGGGCGACAAGAAGGCGACACCTCGCCGCGGTAGACCGAAACGTACCGCCTGCGTCACGACTTACCGAGAACTTCGCGACCTACCTGAGTAGTCTTAAACCTAAGACACCTCAACGACAGCTCCCCACTCCGCGCGTGCGAATTAGTAACAGCAGCACTACTTTTCGGGAGAGCAGAGCGGTATTTCCAACACTACTTGAGTCGTCCCATTCCACGTCCATCCCACGAGGAACGAAATGCTCTGTGGAATCACGCATACGCGGGTGAACGGAGCTTCAATATTTCTTAATGTCTTTAATGATACCCCCACCACATCTGCACAGATTGCTATTGGAGAGGCTATTCTGTTGATGCCTGAGAGAGGCCGGGCGCTGCTAGCGAGAAAAGAAAAGCATCTCATAGAGGATCGGCACAAACATCCCGGATGACATATTCAACTTTCGCGTAGAATTAAAAGTTCGCTTTCAGCCTGCTCTGCTAGTAGATCTCGTTTTTTTTTTTGGCTTTTCGGGGACGAGAAATGCCCATGGCGCGGATTAGCAGGACTGTTTATCAAAGTTATTTGTGCAATGGGAATGAGACGTTCGGGCTGGAAACTCTCCCCTTTTGCGTCGCAGAACTTTGTCAGGCGCCGCCTTGGTTGCTGTAATACGATAGATACCGGTTATTGCTGGCGAGTTATGCCATAAATACCTAATCTAACCTAGATTTCAATCTATAATAATGACGGATTAATCATGCATGTCAGAAACAAGGGGGACACACACATATGCAGAACAGAACAGACAGACAGACGAGGTAGACCGCCGCATGCGAAGTGTTTTCTTTTTTTCTTTTTTATTTCCGGGATTATGTATAAAAATATTCGGTGAAAAAAAAAAAACAAAGCACATAGCCGAGTAAAACAGAGTAGGAAATAAACAAAAATACTACGGCCCCGTCAGCGGATATTGGAATCTGATACGGAACGTCTCGGGGGTTCATGTTTGTTAGAGGCGCGGGACGAGATTAAAAAAAAATGAACCCCCAAAATCCAAAGAAAACCCCCCCTCGGTACCGAAAGATAGCAACAGCAAGACCCCACGGCCCAATGACGTAAATAGCCAAAGCGTCCGACAAGGCAAAGGGTAATGGTAGAGTAAAAAAGAGGGAAATGGGAAATGGAAACTACCTTACCCAGTATTCCGTATAAGTTTTTTCTCGTGCCGAGGCTCCCCCCCCCCCCCCCCCCCCCCCCCCCCCCCCGGGGGGGGGGGGGGGGGGGGGGGGCTACGCCGTGAAAGTATTTAGGTAGCACCACTTTAACAGGATTAGTGGTCAAGTGGTATGACATGGCTCTTTCAAAGCCAGGATCGCGGGTTCGATTCCCGTCTAATCTAGATAATTTTTTACAGGTGTGGCACGCTCTTCTTAGTTATGATTTATTTAATTATCCTCTCTGGATGTTTCACGCGCCTTGTCCGAAGGTAGGCATTTTTATGAATATAAAAATTAAAAAAAATAAATTTTTTTCTATTTTTTTACACCTCCTCCGTATCCCTTCGGGATAGGGGAAGCTCCCCTTTGGATAGGCGAAGCCCAGAAGTGGGCCCTACTCCGCAGCCAGCCACACGTGTTGTGCGCAGGGTAGGATCCCATCCCGCCGCCTTTGGCGGCGGGATGGGAGCGGCCACAACACCTTGTGGCTTTTTACTCCGGGCACCCCAGGAGGCTCGGAGAGCCTCCTTTACCCAAAGGGGTCATGGTCCTCCGTCCGTAGGGGGGGGGGGGAGACACTTCGTAGGGGTAAGGGAGACGCTTCGCTCCCTTCGCTCGCTTGCGAGCTGGGTCACGGAGTGAAGTGGAGGGGTGACGGGGAGCACG